TTTAAGTATTTCCAAAACTGTTTTCCTTGTTAATTTCCATTTAAAATTTTTTACTTAAATTAGAAACAAGCTTGCTTCACATGTCAATCCCAGTTCCCTCTCCCTCCCCTCCTCTCCCACCAGCCCTCCAGCCCCTCACCGAATCCCCCACTCCATTCCCCAGAGAGGGTGAGGCCCTTCATGGGGGATCTCCAGAGTCTGTAATTTCGTTCAGGGCAGGGCCTAGTCCCTCCCTCAAGTGTCCAGGCTGAGAAAGCATCACTCATTGTGGGATGGGCACCCTAAGTCCATTTGTGTGCCAGGGATAAATATTGATCTACTATCCAAGGCCCCATAGATTGTCTACACCTCCTCACTGACACCCACATCCAGGGGATCTGGATCAGTCCCATGCTGGCCTCTCAGCCATCAGTCTGGGATTCAAGAGCTTCACCTTGTTCAGGTCAGCTGTCTCTGTGGGTTTCACCAACCCAGTCTTGATCCCTTTGCTCATCACTATTCCCTCTCTGTCACTGGGTTCTAGGAGTCCAGTTCAGTGTTTAGCTACAGTTTCCATTTTTCATGGTTATGCAAAAATTGAAAAATGTAGTTTTATTTATTATAAATGCAAAAGAACCACAAGATGAATTCCTTGTTAACTGTGGGATTTCACCATTGAAAGGATGCATAACTTGACCAGGCAATAGCAGGAAAAGCATCTCCTATAGTTTCAGTAACAGAAAACTCAACAAAACCTTGGCAGCAGCTTTCTGCCAGTGACAGGCACAGCTGCTTCTGACTTTCCTCCTAGACAGATTTTTCTGCTTGTGTTCTCTAGAGACAGAGGTGTCAGAGTTCAGGGTTACTGTCAGATTTCAAAAAGGTTGGATTTATTTTTTAGTTACTTTTTATTTTCAAGGCAAAGAAAATCAGCTGAACAAGCACACTTCATATCCCAATCGTTTCCACTTCTCTTTTACTAGACTCCATCCTCAAGGACCTCATTCCAAATGTTTCCACCCTTCCATTAATCCTCTCGACACTCAACCCTTTTTCAACATAGTTTATCTCTCAGAATAGACCAGTTTCCATTCTCAGTGCATCTCTATCTTTTATATGCCAATTCATACAAGAAGTCAGTTAAAATATTCAATGGCCGAGAAACATCAAATAAAAGCAGATTGATTACAGTGAGTTTGGAGTGTTGAGATGTACAACCAGGGGCAGGTACAATCTGACTTTGTAGAGCATATGTGGAATTTGCATATAAAACATACTCCTTGTCCTTTTGAAGAAATATCTATAAAAGTATTAAAGAAGATTTCTATAGTATTTTTAGATACAAATTTAGACACCCATTGATATCTTATAAAAAATCTTAAAGGGTGATATTTTGAGTAATGACTATATATAGATTCTGAGTAAAATGCTAATGCTACCTCTCAGTTTTTATCAGTGTGGAACAAGTTATCAACCTGAATTTTATTCAGTGGCACAATGATTTCTGTAGGCTCTTTACCAGTAAGTTGTTTAAGATGTGTCCTTCTAAACATTATCAAGCCTAAAGCTTCTTGTAATAAGGAATAAAAGTTTGTTATGGAAATTTTGGCATTTTGGTGGGGGGGAAGACAGGCTTTCTCTGTGTAGCCCTGGCTGTCCTGGAACTTGCTCTGTAGACCAAGTTGGCCTTGAACTCTCATTGAGATTTGCCTGTCCCTGCTTGCCCCTGCCTCCCAAGTGTGGGGATTAAAGCCCAGTACCACCACCACCCTATACCATAAAATTTTTCTAAAACAATACCTTTTTGATATATAATGAGGAGGAAGGAAGGATAAGTAATTGATAAGGAAGTAAGGGATTACTTCTATGAGCTATGATTGTAGCAGTAGTATTTTCTAATAAACTAATAACTTGCCATGCTTTTAGTGTTGCTTTGGTGAAGTTTAACTGAGAGTTTCCAGAAAGCAACTTAAAGCATATAGCCAAATTATCAGTAATGATGTACATAAGAGTGTACCCAACTGACATGACCCATTTTTTTTGTTTTTATTTTTTTCTGTTTTTCAAAACAGGGCTTTTCTGTATTGCTGTGGAGGCTGTCCTGGAACTGCTCTGTAGACCAGGCTGGCCTCTAACTCACAGAGATCCACCTGCCTCTGCCTCCCAAGTGCTGGGATTAAAGGCATGTGCCACACGCCCGGCCATTTTTTAAAAAATAATTGACAGTACATTGTTTTTAAGTTGAGAGGACAGTGGAGAAGTTGTTGCTGAGTTATAATTTAACCTAAATAATTAAAGGTGATTGCTTTTGTATTTTATTTACCATAAAAGTTAAGAACTCATTTGAGTATGATGACCAGGAGAGGAGATTGTCATCCATATAAGGAATGACCATTACCTCAGGAAATTTAACCAGCATTGTCATAAGTGCTTTATGTGTATAACATTGACACAGTGAGATTATTTTCCTTCCTCTGTGGCAAAACTTTCCACTGATATCAGGTCATTGGCCATTGATTGTTTAAAGTAGGAAAAGAGAATGCAAAATCTTCCTTATCATTAGAATGTAAAAATAGAGAAAAGTAAGTCTTTTAAGTCAAGTGTAATAAGGTAATGTCCTTGAGGAATCATAGTAGGGGCAGGGAGCAACTGTCCCCATTGTCTTCATAGTTTTATTTATGTACCTGAGATCATATAACAATTTATTTTTTACCTTTTCGTACATTACAAAAATAGGGGAATTTCAAGAACTGACCATAGGTTCTATATGTCCTAGTTGTAATTGTTCCTGACCTAGACTTTGGGATAGTTTGAATTTTTCCCCATGAAGGAACCTTTCATCAATTTTAGTGTCGTTCCTGCTGTGAAGGAAAACAAAAAGCTAAGCAATGGGACAGATGAGCCCTGGAGCTCAAGTGGGGATTATGGAACCCCAGCTGCCCCTCCTTGGAACTCAGGTGTTGTAACAGATGCTGATCTGGATGGACCTCAGCAGTCGAAAATGCTGCCCTGCCAAGATTTGTAATATATATCATGCAGAGAAGACTTGTAAGATACATCATGCAGAGAATTCTCTCTCTCTCTCTCTCTCTCTCTCTCTCTCTCTCTCTCTCTCTCTCTCTCTCTGTCTCTCTGTCTCTGTCTCTCTCTCTCTCTCTCTCTTACTCTCTCCCTCCTCTCTCTCTTAAAATGATCTTTCTGAGAGGGTCCAAGCAAAAATTACTGTAATCCAGTTGAAATCTCTACACTGACTCCTATGTGCTTTCAATTAACAATTATCTATGGTTCCTTCTTTAGGAAACCAAGGATTGAATTTTACAAAGCTGTAGAACTGTTGCTCTGATAATCCTGCTCCTCTAGATCTTAACAAACATTTCAATAATTATTTAAAATGCTTTGTCTCAAAGGAATGAGAAGAAACCATGTTTATTTTCCTCTCTCACTTGTGATTGCAACCCCTTGGGTGATAGGATCAAGCTCCTATCCCCTGCTTCTATTTAAGGAAAAAATATTCTTACCTCCATTGAGCATTGAATTTCTCACTGTTTGTGTGTTTTGAAGGGGGTTTCTACTACTTCTACGGCCAGCAGAGAGATCTGTGTGAGATAAGAAGGCAGTTTGATTAAACATGACTCAATAATCAGTGTTGGTTCAAGCTTAGGGAGTCAGACATCAGGTAGTTTATTTTAGGCATGTGTAAGGACAGCACAATTTGAAAAATATTTTGCCAGTGATAATTACATCAATCCCAAGTATAAAACAAAGCTTAAGATGTAATTACATCAAAACTGTGATGAAAGACAAGTGACAACTTCCATAAAGATAGATTCTAAACATCAACTAAGGAAGTAGGTTCAATGTAAACAAAGTTCATGGTAATGGTCTGGGGGAGGGCAGAGATATAGATTTACTGAGATAAGAGTCTAGGGGAGCTGGTGTGACCTGGCCATACAGATAGCACTGAGATCTCCAGGTGATCACTCCCTCTCTCAGCCTTCAGAGTGGAAAACAGATAATGCAGATCTCCCTTCAAAGAGATAACCCTGTGCATTTAAAATTCTGGGTTTCCCTAATGTTTATCTCTGAACACAAATACCCACATTTCTCCTATAGGAAGTGACATAAATATAGTACTCATATATGGATTCTCAAAACAAATAATTTTAAAAAGTACAGCAAGTGCTCTTACTGATAAGCCATATTAGTAGCCCCACATGTGTACATTTCTAATGAAATATTTTAGGATTCTATGTTATTGATAAATCACAAGAATCTATTATGGAAAATTTTCTTCTTGGGTTATAAGTTCTATGCTCTCATCCATGCGCATATATAAAATGTGTTTGCTCAACAAAGATGGCTTTTAGCTTTACACCTGAGTTAGGGGATTCTTCAAAGATGTACCCTTCATGAACACGGTTCATAAATGCTGATGGTCTGGTTCTTAGTGGCTTTTACATGGTTTTCAAAGAAAACTATTAAAATTTAAATGAATATTTGTGCTCTTAAAATTTCAGTCCAAGCCCCAAATGATGTGACAGACGTTGATGATCCCCCGTGGAAGGCCTCACCCTCCCTGGGGAGCAAAAAGGGCATGGATAGGGGAGGTCAGTAGGGGCATGAGAGGTTGGGAGGGAGAGAGTACTGGGATTGATATGTAAAATAATATTTTTTTCTAATCTACCCCCCCAATTTCAGTCCAAAATGCCAGAGATGATTTTTTAAAAAAATTATACAGCTCTTGCAGAGAGCTCAGAAAATAGAGGTTTTCCTGGATGTGTAAATAAAATAATTGCCTTCCTAACAGTACCTGGGATGGTTTTTGTAATTGTCCAGTTAGAGCTGGGACAGACATTGGTGTGTGAGTCACCAACACTCATACCAGTGAAAGACTCAGTAGTCCAAAGAAGGAGGGTATAATCTGCCAGTCTTTATGCAATACACAGTTTTTCATTTTGATTTTCTTATAGCTACTAAGACAAAGGACTGGAAAGGAAACCTTCTGGATATCTGAGCAGCAATTACATGAACCAGATCTTCTTGCTAGCATTTCTTTCATAGTTACCTTTCAATCTGAAGTAAATAAATGAAATGAGCTTGATGATGAACACTATCAGCACACACAGGACCACACTAATATCTTCTACCCACAAAGTATCCAGTTCAAAATGTGGATCTGAAACTGGGACTGGGAAAAGAGGAAAGAATCAGGATATTTGCAGCCAAGAAGATGGATGGATTACACATGAAATGTAACTTTGCTTTTCAGGTTCCTGATGCTCCATGCTTCCAACATGTACAAGAACAATGCAAAAGAAAGTTGCCCTACATGATTTTGGAGATGAGCATGTTTTTGTTAAGCCTGGAAGAGGCTATGAAGAGGCAGGTACCTTTTCTCCTCAAGCAGCATGGCTTCTGCTCTTACAAGTCTCTCTGAAGAGCACATGGATAGATTACATTTTTATTTGTTTTATTTAGTATTGAGGCTCCTCATGAGTTCTGGACCATATAGAACACCCTGCAACAGAACATTCTTAGATGATTGGTATCTGTGAAATGGAAGAAGTTTTACAATTCTTAAGCACCATGTACCTTAGGAAGCATCCTCGCTCCATTGTCATCTTCCTCTCTGTCTTGACATTCCATGTATTACACATCTTCCCTGATACCTATCTGTCCTATTTCCTCTCTCACCATAGTATCCTCTGAAAACCCACTCATTGAAATCTAGATCCTGAGAAGAGGGAAGTTTGGTTCCTCTCCATCTACCTACCGATGCACTCTCCAATGTAAGACACAGACTCATTCAGTCCATCCTTCTGAAAAATATCAAGTGAAGAATAGTTTCCTTGTCCCTCCTAAGGTTTTGGACTAGCTCTGAAATGGGTTAAAAAGAGACAGATACATAGGTGAAAAGTATAGACCTCTCTGGTGCAGTCCCAACCAGTCTGCAGGTAGGTGAGAGATCAGTCTTCAGGATGTTCCCAAATCCCCACCACCAACTGGATTCTGTCTAGCCAAGACCCACTCTGCTGCACAACCACAGGCACATGAACATCCTTCCCATGGCCAGCCCTTCCCTACAATGGCAGCAGACTAATTGGCACAGACACAAATCACATCATTTGGGAAAACAACAGACTACAAAGAATTTTTTGGTTCATCTTTTCCTCCATTTCATGTATTTTTGTTTGTTTTTTCTTCTATTTCTTTAAGGGATTCAAAAAATAAACAAATCTCTTAAAGAATCTAAAGAGTACCAAGAAAAAACAACCAAACAAATGAAGGAAACAACTCAAACAGTTGAAGGATTGAAAGATGAAATAGAAATGATAAAAAAACAAAGAATGAGGGGATGCTGGAAATAGAAAAGCTGGGTAAACGATCAGGAACTACAGATGCAATTATCACCAATAGAATACAAGAGATAGAAGAGAGAATCTCAGGTGTTGAAGATTCATTAGAGGATATACAGTCATCAACCAAAGAAAATCTCAAAACCAACAAATCCCTAATACAAAATATCCAGGAAATATGGGACACCATGAAGAAGCCAAACCTGAGAATAATAGGTATAGAAGAAGGCAAAGAAATACAGCTTAAAAGTACAAAAACATATTCAACAAAATCATAGAAGAAAACTTCCCTAACCTAAAGAAGGATATGCCTATGAAAATACAAGAATATTACAGAACACCAAATAGGCTGGACCAGAAAAAGAAGTCACTTTGCCATTTAGTAATCAAAACATCAAACCTACAGAATAAAGAGAAAATATTAAGAGCAGCCAAAGAAAAAGGTCAAGAGACATATAAAGGCAGACCTATCTGAATTACACCCGACTTCTCAATGGAAACTATGAAAGCCAGAAGATCCTGGACAGATGTCCTACAAACACTAAGGGAACAAGGATGCCAGCCCAGACTACTATATCCAGCAAAGCTTTCAATTCACATAGATTGAGAAAACAAAATATTCCATGACAAAGCCAGATTTAAACAATACTATCCATGAGTCCAGCTTTACAGAAAGTGCTGGAATGAAAGCCTAGACCCAATGAAGATAACTACACTCACAAAGACATAGGCAATAGATAATCACACTTTACCAAACACCAAAAGAAAAAGGGTGGAGAACCGACACACAATAACACCACTACCAATAAATCAAGCACAAACAAGAATCATCAATCAATGGTCATTAATATCCCTTAACGTCAATGATCTGAACTTGTCTATAGAAAGACTAGCAGAATGGATACAAAGACAGAACCCATCCTTCTGCTGCATACAAGAAACACATTTCAACGTCAAAGACAGACGTTACCTCAGAGTAAAGAGTTGGGAAAAGATTTTCCAATAAAACAGACCCAAGAAACAAGCTGGTGTAGCAATCTTAATATCTAACAAATTAGATTTCAAATTAAAATCAATCAAAATAGATGAAGAAGGACATTTAATATTCATCAAAGGAGAAATCCATCAATATGAAGTCTCAGTTTTGAACATCTATGCCCCAAATACAAAGGCACCCACATTCATGAAAGAAACATTACTAAAGCTCAAATTGCACATAAAATCTTACACACTGGTAGTAGGAGACTTCAACACTCTGGTCTCACCATTAGACAGGACTTCCAGACAGAAACTTATGAAAGAAATAAAAGAACTAATAGAAGTTATGTCCCAACTGGGTTTAACAGACATCTATAGAACATTCCACCCAAACACAAAGGGATATACCTTCTTCTCAGTGCCACATGGAACCTTCTCTAAAATTGACCACATAATAGGAAACATAGCAAACCTCAACAAAAAATTGGAATAACTCTCTGTATCTTATCAGACCACCATGCATTAAAATTAGAATTCAACAATAACACAAATCACAGAAACCCTACAAACTCATGGAAATTGAACAATGCACAATTGCACCACCCTGGGTAAAGGAAGAAATAAAAGAAATTAAAGAGTTCCTGGAATTCAATGACAATGAAGACACAACATACCCAATCTTATGGGACACTCTGAAAGCTGTGCTAAGAGGAAAGTTCATAGCACTAAGTGCACACATGAAGAAACTGGAGAAAAGTCACACTAGAGAATTAATAGCACAAGTGAATGCTCTAGAACAAAAAGAAGCAAACTCACTCAGGAGGAGTAGCCTCCAGGAAATAATCAAATTGAGGACTGAAACCAATCAAGTAGAAACCAAGAAAACATTGCAAAGAATCAATGAAACAAAGAGTTGGTTCTTTGAGAAAATCAACAAGATAGACAAATCTTTGTCCAAACTAACCAAAAGGCAGAGAGAGATCATGCTAATTAACAAAATCAGAAATGAAAAGGGGGACATAACAACAGACACTGAGGAAATCCAGAGAATCAGCAAGGTATACTTTGAAAACGTGTACTCCACAAATTCAAAAATTTTAAGGAAATGAACAATTTCCTAGATAGATATAACTTACCAAAACTAAATCAAGAACAGATAAACAACCTAAACAGACCTATAACCCTTAATGAAATAGAAGCAGTCATCAAGTCTCCCAACCAAAAAAAAGCCCAGGCCCAGATGGCTTCAGTGCAGAATTCTACCAGAAATTCAAAGAAGAGCTAATTCCAATACTTCTCAAAATGTTCTACACAATAGAAGTGGGAGGATCCCTGCCAAACTCTTTTTACAAGGCTTCATTTACCTTGGTACCCTAGCCACACAAAGACACAACTAAGAAAGAGAACTGTAGACCAATTTCCCTCATGAACACCATGCAAAAATACTCAAAAAATACTAGCAAATCGGATTCAAGAACACATTAGAAAAATCATCCACCATGATCAAGTAGGCTTCATCCCAGGAATGCAGGGATGGTTCTACATTAGAAAATCTATCAATGTAATCCACCATATAAACAAACTGCAAAAGAAAAACCACATGATCATCTCACTAGGTGCTGAAAAAGCCTTTGACAAAATCCAGCACCCCTTCATGATAATGGTCCTAGAGAGATCAGGGATAACAGGAACATACCTGAACATAATAAAAGCAATATACAGTAAAGCAAAAGCTAAATCAAACTAAATGGAGAGAAACTCAACGCAATTCCTCTAAAATCAGGAACAAGACAAGGCTGTTCACTCTCCATATCTCTTCAATATTGCACTTGAAGTTCTAGCTAGAGCAATAAGACAAGAAAAGGAGATCAAGGGGATACAAATTGGAAAGGAAGAGGTCAAACTTTCACTATTTGTAGATGATATGACAGTTTACATAAGTGACCCAAAAAACTCTGCAAGGGAACTCCTAGAGCTGATAAACGCCTTCAGCAAAGTGTCAGGATACAAGGTTAACTCCAAAAAATTCACTAGCCCTATTATATAGATGATAAAGTAGCTGAGAAAGAAACCAGAGAAACATAACCCTTTATATTAGCCATAAACAACACCAAATATCTGGGGATAGCATTAACCAAAGAAGTGAAAGCTCTGTATATCAAGAACTTTGAGTCTCTAAAGAAAGAAATCAAAGAGGATATCAGAAAATGGAAAGATCTCCATGCTCTTGGATTGGTAGGATCAACATAATAAAGATGGCAATCTTGCAAAAAACAATCTACAGATTCAATGCAATCCCTTTAAAAATTCTGGCACAATTCTTCAATTCTTCACAGACCTTGAAAGAATAATAATTAACTTTATATGGAAAAACAAAAGACCCAGGATAGCCAAAACAATCCTATACAATAAAGGAACTTCAGAAGGCATCACCATACCTGACTTCAAGCTCTATTATAGAGCTATAGTCCTGAAAACAGCTTGGTACTGGCACTAAAATAGACAGGTAGACCAATGGAATTGAATTGAAAACCCTGATTTTAACTCACACACCTATGAACACTTGATTTTTTTACAAAGAAGCTAAAATTATACAATGGAAAAAAGAAAGCATCTTCAACAAATGGTGCTGGCATAACTGGATATTGGCACGCAGAATACTGCAAATAGATCCATGTCTATCACCTTGCACAAAACTTAAGTCCAAATGGATCAAAGACCTTAACATAAATCCAACCAGATTGAAACTTTTAGAAGAGAAAGTGGGAGATACTCTTCAACGAATTGGTACAGGAGAATGCTTCCTCAATGTATTACTAGTAGCACAGACACTGAGATCAACACTTAATAAATG